AACCGAGTGAGCGGTGAACCGAGGACAGGCAAACAGAGGTTGTATGCCTGAGAACTGTTCGAGAGTGAGTGCTATGGTGAATGCTACGTTAGAGGGGCTGTGTTGTGAACTGGTAGGGTGACTATCCGAGTGTCTGTCTGCTGTGACCATTTGTTTGACTGGAGCTAGTTGCAGGGTCTGTTCAACCGTGTGTTTGTTTGTTTGAAAAGTGTGAATTGGGAGTGCTTTGTTCCAGGTTGGCCTTGAGTGGTTGATTGGAGGGAAGGCTTTGAGCTGGGCCAACTGCTTCAAGCCAGCAGCCTTATAAAAAAGCAGCCAGTTGCAAACTGAGGCCTTGGCTACACTTGCAGCTGTACAGCGCTGTGAGGTAAACCTGTCTTCATACAGCTGAGTAGGGAAAGAGCTGCAGTCTGTCCACACTGACAGCTGGCAGCGCAGTGGCGTGGCCACACTTGCAACATTTGCAGCTGTGTTGGGAGCGGTGAATTATGGGCAGCTATCCCAGCATTCATGTGGCTGCAACGTGCTTTTCAAAACGGCGGTGGATTTTGACAGGGAGTGTGGGGGGAGAGAGAGTGCTTTTTGGAGCGTGTCAGCACTCTATTTTGCAAGTTCCGAACTCCCAGCCCCCTGCTCATTCATTCACTCACTCAAAGCAAACAGCAAACTGTTTGCTTTTTCTCTGTGGTACGAGCTTTGAAACCGGCACTTCCGCATTCCTGCAGCCGGTCACAACAATGGAGAGGATTGGCCACTTGACAAGATGATCAGTACAGCGCTGCAGGTTGTTTCCTGGTATACACTCACAGGGGAGAGTCGTAGCCACGCCGCTGTATCTCTTATGCTTCTCGGGGAGGTGGAGTAACTGCAGCGGTGTACCCAGGGAGATACAGCGCTGTACATGCCTTGCCAGTGTAGCCGGTCAGTGAGTTACAGCGCTGTGGGCAGCTTTACAGCGCTGTAACTCACAAGTGTAGCCAAGGCCCGAGTGAGCAGCAAACCGAGGACAGGCAAACAGGGCTCAGAGCTCCAGTATGAAACTGGAGAAAAGCCTGTTGAAAGTCTTTGGGTTAAGTTTAGAGGCGAGAGCAACAAGGGTGATATCATGGTGGGCATCTGCTATAGACCACCAGACCAGGACGATGAGATGGACGAGGCTTTCTTTGGACAACTAACAGAGGTTTCCAGATCACAGGCCCTGGTTCTCATGGGGGACTTCAATCACCCTGACATCTGCTGGGAGAGTAATACAGCAGTGCACAGACAATCCAGGAAATTTCTGGAGAGTGTTGGGGACAATTTCCTGGTGCAAGTGCTGGAGGAACCAACTAGGGGCCATGTCCTCTTTACCTGCTGCTCACAAACAGGGAAGATTTGGTAGGGGAAGTAGAAGTGGGTGGCAACCTGGGCAGCAGTGACCATGAGATGTTCAGGATCTCAGTTCAGGATCCTGACAAAAGGGAAGAAAGGAGGGCAGCAGAATACGGACCCTGGACTTCAGAAAAGCAGACTTTGACTCCCTCAGGGAACTGATGGGCAGGATCCCCTGGGAGACTAATATGAGGTTGAAAGGAGTCCAAGAGAGCTGACTGTATTTTAAAGAAGCTTTATTGAGGGTGCAGGAACAAACCATCCCAATGTGCAGAAAGAATACCAAATATGGCAGGCGACCAGCTTGGCTTAACAGAGAAATCTTCGGTGAGCTTAAACAAAAAAGGAAGCTTACAAGAAGTAGAAACTTGGACAGATGACTAGGGAGGAGTATAAAAATATTGCTCGAGCATACAGGGGTGTAATCAGGAAGGCCAAAGCACAGTTGGAGTTGCAGCTAGCATGGGATGTGAAGGGTAACAAGAAGGGTTTCTACAGGTATGTTAGCAACAAGAAGAAGGTCAGGGAAAGTGTGGGACCCTTACTGAATGGGGGAGGCAACCTAGTGACAGATGATGTGGAAAAAGCTGAAGTATTTAATGCTTTTTTTGCCTTGGTCTTCACAGACAAGGTCAGCTCCCACACTGCTGCATTGGGCAGCAAAGTATGGGGAGGAGGTGAGCACCCCTCAGTGGTGAAAGAACAGGTTAAGGACTATTTAGAAAAGCTGGACATGCACATGCCGATGGGTTGGGATCTAATGTATCTGAGGGAGTTGGCTGATGTGGTTGCAGAGCCATTGGCCATTATATTTGAAAACTCATGGCGATTGGGGGAGGTCCTGGACGATTGGAAAAAGGCAAATATAGTGCCCATCTTTAAAAAAGGGAAGAAGGAGAATCCGGGGAACTACAGAACGGTCAGCCTCACCTCTGTCCCTGGAAAAATCATGGAGCAGGTCCTCAGGGGATCCATTTTGAAGCACTTGGAGGAGAGGAAGGTGATCAGGAACAGTCCACTTGGATTCACCAAGGGCAAGTCATGCCTGACCAACCTGATTGCCTTCTATGATGAGATAACTGGCTCTGAGGATATGGGGAAAGTGGTGAACATGATATTCCTCGAATTTAGCAAAGCTTTTGATACGGTCTCCCACAGTATTCTTGCCAGCAAGTTAAAGAAGTGTGGGCTGAATGAATGGACTATAGGGTGGATAGAAAGCTGGCTAGGTCGTCAGGCTCAACGGGTAGTGATCAATGGCTCCATGTCTAGTTGGCAGCCGGTATCAAGCGGCGTGCCCCAAGGGTCGGTCCTGGGGCCGGTTTTGTTCAATACCTTCATTAATGATCTGGAGGATGGCGTGGATTGCACGCTCAGCAAGTTTGCAGATGACACTAAACTGGGAGAAGTGGTAGATACACTGGAGGGTAGGGATAGGATAAAGAGGGACCTAGACAAATTAGAAGATTGGGCCAAAAGAAATCTGATGAGGTTCAACAAGTCCTGCACTTAAGACGGAAGAATCCCATGCACTGCTATAGGCTGGGGACCGACTGGCTAAGCGGCAGTTCTGCAGAAAAGGACCTGGGGTTACAGTTGACGAGAAGCTGGATATGAGTCAACAGTGTGCCCTTGTTGCCAAGAAGGCTAATGGCATATTGGGCTACATTAGTAGGAGCATTGCCAGCAGATCAAGCGAAGTGATTATTCCCCTCTATTCGGCACTGGCGAGGCCACATCTGGAGTATTGCGTCCAGTTTTGGGCCGCCCACTACAGAAATGATGTGGACAAATTGGAGAGAGTCCAGCAGAGGGCAACAAAAATGATTAGGAGGCTGGGGCACATGACTTACGAGGAGAGGCTGAAGGAACTGGGCTTATTTAGTCTGCAGAAGAGAAGAATGAGGGGGGATTTCATAGCAGCCTTCAACTTCCTGAAGGGGGTTTCCAAAGAGGATGGAGCTAAGCTGTTCTCAGTGGTGGCAGATGACAGAACAAGGAGCAATGGTCTCAAATTGTAGTGGGGGAGGTCTAGGTTGGATATTAGGAAAAACTATTTCACTAGGAGGATGGTGAACCACTGGAATGGGTTACCTAGGGAGGTGGTGGAGGCTCCATCCTTAGAGGTTTTTAAGGCCCAGTTTGACAAAGCCCTGGCTGGGATGATTTAGTTGGGGTTGGTCCTGCTTTGAGCAGGGGGTTGGACTAGATGACCTCCTGAGGTCTCTTCCAACCTTAATCTTCTATGATTCTTCTATGATTCTATGCATTTAGCAGTCCTGTTGCACCTGCCCTCAGCCAAGCTGTCATCTCACACATTCAGTTGTGTTTCAGGCAAACAGCTGTGGTTTCTCTGCCTCCAGGGAATACTGACACCTGTTATCACACAGTCCCGCTCTCCCCTCTCTCTACTCTCTTTCTTGTCTCCAGGAACCTGTTCATGGGTACTGGCTTAGCAGAGCATGTTTAAGAGCTTCACTCAAAAGAAACAGATACCAGGGCAGCCATAAGGGCCAGTCTCAGACACTGAAATGTGTCCAAGGGTTCTGTCAAAATACTCTCTCACAGTCCACTTAATCACTACTTTAAAGTCTGCTGGACACTGCGTTTATGCCAACCCACCATGCACAGCAATATCAGTGGCTCAGCACTGCTTTCTCAAAACCCTCATCTGCACCCCACCCCCATCTGCTATTAAGAACAGAGCCTGAATACCATTTCTGTCCTAAGGCGGTACGTCTACAGGGATAAAAGACCTGTGGTGGTCGCAGGTCAGCTGACTTGGGCTTGGGAGCTAAAAATTGCTATGTAGACATTCAGGCTTAGGCTGGAGACCGACACTTGACCCTCACAGAGTCCCAGAGCTTGGGGTCCAGCCTGAAGCCAAACATCTACACAGTGATTTTTCAGCCCTGGGACTGAAAGGATAGATTTGAATGAAGAGAGGAAAAGGAGTTCCAGACATAAGGGATGGATTGAATGTTAAATGATAGCACTTGGGTCCAGATTCTAACCTGACCTTGCAGGGCTACATAAAAGAGAGAAGTGGGAGGAGTTTAGGAGGAGCTTCCACGTCTTCTTTTGTACTCATTTGGGAAATAGGCAGACTTCTGAGAGGAATGTACACTCCTAATGCTCCCCGCACTCCAGGCATTAGCTATTTGAAATGGGGCAGGAGGACCATGGCTGCAGCAAAATGGATAGGGAAACATATTATACCTTATTCAAGTGGTGTGCCAATGTGAGCTGTGTGGGAGCCCTAAGTCAGCAATATCCCACCTGAGAACTCCAGCTGCTGTACCGCCTCCACACACCCCCATAAACGTGGATACTTTTCCCTCACATTTTCATAACATGTGCATTTAAAGTCTTGAAACTCCATGTTCTTAACCAAGCAACAGTAAGCACTATTCATTAATTTCCAGTTTGAATCTAATTGAATGCAATACAGTATAGAGACATGCTGAATTAATGTTAAACTGG